TCTCAATGGAACAATGATGAAGGGTCTCTGTCCGAAGATTCGAGGCGTTTGATGTTGCGGTGTCACCAGCCCCTCTCTCCGAAGCTTGTGTCCCAACCATCCGGTTTCGAGGTGTTTGGTGCGTTTGGTTTGGCTTTAGTGGTTTCCACTCAAAGTCAAGCTTTTAGCGGATCTGGGAACAGCCCAGGGAGTTGGTTGCCGAAAAGCCATCCCCCTTTCTACTCCCCGACCAAAATGGCTGGAGGTCTCGCCAAACTCCTTCAGCCCGGTAGAGTGGGGCCTCCGACCCCGGAGTAGACTTGCTTCCCTCCAAGTCGATGGATTCCCTCAGCCGGACATCCCCGTGTTGCAGTCCGGGCGCTTCGTGAATCAACTGGGTTCCCAGGATCCAGACCATCCACGTTTGGATATAGCTGTCTGATGTTCAATTCGAGTAAACTGCGAAGTCATTTGCAATCGGAGGGTTGCCCCAGTCCGGATCATTTGAAGCCCTGCCCAATCTCTTCCCGCTCCCCTCCCCCAAATGAATCTTCTCTAGAGCCGAAAGGATATTTGGCTGTGGGTCAAAAGTAGGTCCTCAAAATGGAACCCTGGTAAATGGAACCAAGGGCTAAACCCTGCAGTCCCCTGGTACTTGAATTTTGACCCACAGCCATTTCTTATCAGGGTCCATCGATGTCTGTCAGATCGGAGGACGGATCCACGCTGCTGTCCTCCATGCTGACCTTCCTCCATGACTTTGCGCCCCTAGGTCGGGCCTTTGAGACGTTGGGGGCTTTTTCGGTGGGTGTAGGGAATCCAAACAGATGCCAACGAAAAACACAAAACCTATATCTGGATTTTCTTGGACTCACAACTCTCAGGTGGGAATCAAGCATGAAGCCCAGCCAAAACACCGAGAGAAAAACACGCACAACCTATGTACGGATTTTCTTGGACTCGCCAACCTACCAGGTGCCCCTTTACCTACTTGGTTTGGAAGGGCTTGGGGATTTGCTCCGCTTCTGACGGCCAATGCAAACCAAGTAATCAGAGGCATGACTAGGCATGAACCCCCAAATTGAGCCCCGCAAACCACCGCGGCATATGTAAACCACTTGGGCATGACTAGGCATGACTAGTCCAACTTGTCGGACTGCAGCGGCGCAAGCAGTGACTTGAGCGTCACTTGTGCAGGACTTTGTCGGATCGCAGAAGGAATCCGGGTCTATCAAGCAAAATCAGGGCACCATTCTCCTAAAACGGTCATATTTATGTTCCTTGACGGTTGTCCTTCCAATTACATTTCGGTGTTTGTCCAGGAGCCACCCATCTGAAATCCCAAACTTCATTAAGCCACAAATTGTTGGCGGGTCCCCCAACAAAAATGAGGAGACCCCTAAACCCCTAAACGCCTGAACCCCTGAACCCCTGAAAAACCCCAAACAGCCCCCAAGGATTGGCGGTTCCCCCCACAAAACCACGACGAGCACTCATCTGAACCCCCCAAACCAACCCCCAACGATTCCCACAACCAAACAAAAGAAAACCGGTTCAACCCACCATTTTGGGGCGCTTCAACCGCTCAACCAACAAAAACACCGACGAGCGAGCCGCCGCTCTGAAAACTCAAGCTTCATTAAGCCACGCATTTTTGGCGGTTCCCCCAACAAAAATGAGGAAACCCCTAAACCCCTAAACCCCAACCAACTCAAACCAAACCCCAACGAGACCGAAATCGACGAGACCGAACTCCGAAATCCGCGAGGCTTCCAGGATCTGGTGCTGGACTTCCTGAGCTCCTCCCGGCTCTCCGCGCAGGCCGCTTTGGCGTCTCTGAAACGTGAAGCGTCGGGTCTCCGATTTTAGGAGACGCAGAAAAAACATCTGGGCGCCCTCCCACCGCTTTTTGCTTTTCTCTTCTTCTTCTTTTTTAAACAAAATCTGGAACCTGACGTTTTAGGTTCGTGTGGTTGGAAAATACCCGTTCATTTTACTTGGCGGTTCCCAGCTTTTTTTTGATAATAAATATGGAACCTGACGTTCGGTTTGTTTCTTCCCTTTGAAAGGAACACGGTCCAAACCAAAACGCCCCGCACAAACGTCTGGTTTGTAAGACAAGGTGGGAGGGTGTAGCAACTGATTTTATTTGTTGAGGTTCACTGGTAGTGCTTAGTCTTACAATGTTGAATGAAATACCTTACAAAGATAGTTTGTGTTGCGTTGATTTGCGTTGATTCGCGTTGGTTTGCGTTGACTTGGTTTGCATCCTTTCGATTTAAACTTCGAGTATGATTTACCTAACTGTGAACCAGCATTCCACATTATTACGCTGTTTTTCTCCACTGGGACCAATTTTCAGGGACAATTCATTCTTGTATAAGGCGGCAAGGGTTGTTCCCAACTGGGAACCTCAGGATTTTTCTCACTAGTTCATGGGAGTGACAATCAAAATCAGGGTAGTTGAAGGTTAGGAAGGGACAGTCCCAACCGTAAATAGGTGCAGATATCCGCTCTTTTGGTGGTGGACCACCTTCGTACCAGAAATGACCATTTACCCATAACGGATCGCCAACGAGCAAAATGGGGGGGGATGTCATGTTCAACTTTAGCGATTTCACTGGTAGCCCGGCTGTGCAACTCAAAGGAGAAAGAACTGCACACACTTGTTTTCTCAGCCGGGTAGTCCAGCTCAATGTCGATGTGGCTTCGTCACGAAGCCAGCCGATCCACATGTAGCGCGCGTTCCGTAAGGAACGTCTTGGCAAAAGGGTCCCCTGGGTATTTGGGCCAGAAGGACCGCAAAAGGCGAAAAATCAAATCAATTCCATGCAAATGGCTGAAGCTCTGGAGCCTGACGTGAAAACACTGACATGCCCCAAAAAGCTTTCGCCGCTAGCGGAATTCTGGCCCGTTCAGAAGGTCTCGCCAGGTGAGGTCACTGTAGTCCTCGCCATCGAAAGCGTCCGCATTCGGAGGCACTTTCTTCTTCTTCTTCTTTGCGGCAACGAAGTCAGGGTCAAACTTGACGTTCCACAGCTGGCCCTTCTGCAAGAACAGGCGAAGAGCATCCTGAGCTTGGCTCTTCGTCAAGCCATCCGCTAGCTGGGCCTCGGATGAGACCCAAAGGAGTGACGTGTTTTGACGCCACATGCTTTCCGTCACACTCATCAGCTCCAACGCCGCGTACTTCTCCTTCATGGAGTAGGCGGCAGACGCTGTGTCTCCCTTCCAGAAAGCGTCGTAGACGGATTTTGCATCAATCACCAAGGCTGCAGTAACCTTCGAGGTGGTGTCTTCGGGGCAGCGTGGGCTCAACTCGTGCCCCAAAAGCTCTGCCCAAAGCGCTCTGCAGAACATCAATTCTTGCTCGGCTTCAGACAAGGCCTGGATCTCCGCGGAGAGGCTGCTGCGTGCCACACGATGCAGTTTACCACTTTTCCACGACACCAAGTTGACAGGTCCACGAACACCTTGCAGAAGAGAACGATGAGCGAGTGCAATCACGTGGCCCCCTGTGCTGGTCATGTCGGGTCGGTTTCCTACCGCAGCATCTGACCAACCAACCATCACGAGATCCTCCTCAAGGGTTGCTCCCAGAGGCTGCACAGACACGGACAGTCCACGACATTGATACACTTCGCGACACAGCTTGTTGATGTGCCTGATGGTGTCCTTGTTCCCATGTGGAAGGGCACTCTGCAACCATGACAGCTTGGCGCAATGCTGTGGGGCTGTTTGAATAGCCCTCCACTGCACGGCGCCCAAAAGTGCCTTACACTGTGAACGCTCACCTACGGTGATCTCCGGAACTCCCTCATCAATGACCACTTGCTTGAGCTCAGTGCAGTACGCAGAGTGGTCGAGCTTGAAGCCAAAATCCGGGGTCTGGGTGATGCCGACGCCACAGTGCACGAAGGGGGTTTCCTCCCATGGGCTCCAAGAAAAACTGCTTCTGAACTTCTCTAAGGAGGCCAACCACTTCGGGTGAGACTCGTCGCCCATGATCAGGAAGTCATCTACATGCGACCCAATGACACCAATGGTGCGGCCTTGATCTCGTAGAACCCAAATGCATGGTTCACACCGAAGACGAGACATGCCACAGTCTTGCTCTAGAACATGGGCCACATCCAGGTACCATTCACGGGGTGCTGATGCAAGCCCATATGCTGCTTTCAGTAGCTTCACTGCTTGACCAACAGGAATCTGAAGTGCAGTCGCGAGCTCAGGGACCGGAATGGCGTAGATGTCCCGCGTTCGCTGCGACTCTGAACCTTGAAGAAAAGCACTCTTCGCATCTGCTTTCCTGCAGGTCCAACGCTTGAAGGTTCCCAGGTTCAGCAGGAGTTGCCGTCCACGTCGTGAAAGTGTGGGGGCACTAGTCATCAGCTCCTCCAAGTCTGGATCTGAATAGCCTAAAAGCACAATGCGTGCTTTTGCTTTGACTTCATGCTCATTCTCGGTGCCCTTGAAGGTGAGGACCCACCGCATGCGCATGAGCCTTTCAGCTGGGATCTTCTCGCTGAGGGCTTGACAGACCTTGCGCGTCACCCACTGATCCACTTCCAGCTGCTTTGCTTCTGCCATGGCTTTCCGCTGCGTGGGGTCTAGCCGGCCCCAGGACACTTCCGCGCCCTTCTGGACACTCTTGGCCGTGAACTTCTTCGGATCCTTCAGGATCTTACGCCACTCACGTTCATCTGAAGGTGTCGGGATGGTGACACCAAAGACGCAGCTGTCAAGGTCCTCCTCCGTGGCAAGATACAGAGCTTGAGATGAACTTGACGGCTGCTTGCGAACATGTAGAGGTCGTTCACTAATTTGATGTGCTGCACGTTTGGCCAAGAATTCCGCACGATCATGTTCAGGATCAGGACCGGTTGGAACTGACGACAAAGGCATGTAGGAAGGATCACAAAGAAGTCGGTCGAGATCAACTTCATCCACAGGAAGTAGAGATGCTTGCCGACTTTCTGGGTCAGGAGAGATAGGTCTCTTTCGGGACGAAGGGTCCTCAATCAGCTCTTCATCAGAGTCCTCCGCAATTCCAGGTGGTTGTTCATGAGGTAGGGCTCGGCGCTCTTCGCGAGCTCGGCTCCGGCTCCGACCACGAAGTTCATTCCTCGTGGGGTTTGAAATTGGCTTTCGAGTGAGGTCGTCGTACTGGCCTTTCTTCATCAACTCGGTGAGAGAACTGAAAGTCCAGGGCAAAGTAACTGTGCCAGTGGCCTCAGCTATGAGCTTCTCTCTCTCGGAGGCGTGCCGCAGTTGGTCAGCATGGATCTTCTTGAGGCGTCCTTGAGAAATGATCCAGACGCTGGTAGAAGGCAGACGTCGGCTACCTTCTTCATGAACCTTGGTCTCGGCGGCAAGGACTCGGCCGGGACCAAACCATCTTGCGACTCGGAGTCGAGTCACATCCACAACTTCATGACCTGGCCGATCACGAGGAGCTTTATGCCGTCGGTAGTAGACCAGGTCACCAGGAATGAACTGCTTGCTGGGAGGTGCCCGGGTGTTGACCGCCCTGCTGAGCTTCTGCTTGTAGTGCTGGTCCTTGTAGAACTCCTCTGCTCGCCTTCGAAGTTGGAGATGCTGCTGCAGAGGATGTCCAGGAACATGCTGATTGACGGTGATGGGCAGTCGGTCTTCATCATTGGGAAAACGTCCCCATGCCCATTGGATTGGAGCGAAGCCACCCACACGGGCCTCGGTGTTGTGAGCCGCGGCCATGGCATACGCTGCCTCTTTCGGGGATGAGGTACGAACTTCACGAAGGAACAGCTCCATCTTTCGCCGAAGGTCTCCCACAGCACGCTCAACATCTCCAGTTGAAGAGTGATGCTCCGCCGGGACGTGGATGAGCTCAATCCCGCGGTCCGCACAGAAATCTTCGAGAAGGCGTCCACGAAAACATCCTTCTGGGTCACACCTGAAGCGCCTGGGGATGCCAAAGATCTGGATCCACACCCGCTGGAAGACCTCCAACACCTCCGGGGTGGCCACATTCTCAGCCTGGTCGTCCTCGTGCTGGATGATCTCCTCCACCACGCAGAACCCTGAGGCCTCGTCCACGAAGAGGAGGAAGTGGTGTACCACCTGGCCAACCCGCATGTAAAAGGTGTCCGCTTGCACGGTGTCCCAGAGTACTTCTGCCTTCTCCAAAGACACCCGAGTAGCCGGAGTTGCCATCTGACCTTCGACACATTCATCGCACCTGATGTTCTGGGCGATGATCAGCATCTTCTCATCTGCGCCTCTAGCCTTCAGAGCTTTGACTAGAGCGCGATTGCTAGGATGCCCACTCCGTCGATGAAGCTGGAGGACGTTCAGGGCTAACTTCTGAAGCTCCTGGTCGGTAAGCGTCTGAATGGAGGTGATGCTCGGCTCTTCCACGGTGAACACCTCCTCAAAGGGCTGAAGTAGTGCCTTGCTGACTGCTCGACAGAACTCAGGAGAGTATCGACCAGTTCGTTCAGGAAGTCCTCCGCCCAGACATGGAGCGTGTCGATGGTCCATAGGGCATTCACGGGCAATGTGATGGAAGTGCATGGGGTCTGTTACTCGGATTCTCCAAGGCTTCTTGACAGGGACGCCCTTGTGCTGGATCCCGTACTGGCACCCATCCACAAAGATGTCGTGGCAACGGCCCTGATGGTCAAGCTCTTGCCAGAACTTGACGACCATGGGCAGCCTCCACCCACCGTTGTGGCGAGGCCATTCCCAAGCAATGCGGCCTCCAAGTTCAAGATGTAGCCGAAGAACTTCTAGGCCACGAGTGACAAGACGTCGACTTCGAGCTCGGCGTTTCCAGCTCTTAAGGCGTCCTTCCTCCGTGATCTCGTTGAGGTTCTGGATCTGGGATTCGGCACTACACGGAAAGGATACCCAGATCCACGAAGGGCGATGATCACGTACAAGTTGCTTGGCTCTTTCAAGGCCATCAGCCTTCTGGAGGTCGCAGGAGTTGAACAATCCGGCCCGACCGGCACGTCCACCTTGTTGGATGATGGTCTTGGTGAGTAGGCTCTCCTCCTCGCAGCAAAGCTCCAAGACATCCCACTTCTCTGGAGGTACTCCATGGGCATTGAAGATCTCATCCATGTTCCCAACCTTGCTGCATGAGGAAGTTGATTTGGTCGTGGCCAAGCTCCTGAACTTGCTCTCTCTGGTAGAGGGCCTCGACATCAACGTGGATCGGAGGTGATAGTGCATGAGGTCGAGCGTCTTCATGAAGTTCAGGAACAGGATCTAGTTCCGGTTGGCATACTCCAGGGCCTCCGGGCCCTCCTCGGACTTGCGGCCTGCTTTGCGACCTGGAGTGTATGACATCTCCTCGGGGTTGGTGACAACAGCCCATGAAGGAGATTCCTGGCTTCCACCTCCCTCGGACTTGTTCTCGGTCTCCCTGGTCGTGCCCTTCTCGGTCTCCTGGGGCTTCGCGGTCTCCGGGGTGATGCCGGACTTCCGGTAGTGCTCGGCCTTCTGGGACTGGATCTTGGCGAGGCGGTCGAGGAGGCTCTTCTCGGCTCCATCCAGGGCGATGGTCTTGTCTCGCATCTGCGGATGAAATGGAGCTTCGTTCTTGAGCTTCTCGACCTGAGCTGTGGTGTCCACCGGCAAGGGACCTGCCGACCGATGAATCCCAGTCGCTCCGAAAGCCGGGGTGTACGACAGGCGCAGCTTGCACCTCTCGCAACCGACCCACTTGGCGTGGCCGTTTGCCCCGCTCACCGAGCCACGATATGGAGCGGCTGGAAGATGATTCCCCCAGCAGGGCTCCCCCGTGGTGCGCGGGTCCCGGGGATCTGGACCGGTGGAGCGAGCCTCGTCGTACTTCAGCAGGTTCTTGCCAGTCGTGTCCTGCTTGGACTTGGGCTTGCCCTTGGACTTGCCCTTTGCGGACGAAGCTGCTGTTGAGGGAGTCGAGGACGCTTCCATTGGTGAGGTCCTCTAGCGAATTGGAAAAGGTGAGTAAGGCTAAGAGATGCCAATGCATCTCATCAATGTGAGCCAGTGGCTGCAGCGGTTCGCCATGAAATTCATCACAACCAGGATCAAGCGCACATGGAAGAGGCTCTGGTGGACAATGATTCCGCCGTGAAGCAAGGCAATTCCAGTCGTTGTCATCCCTGGTCATGAACACATCACTGACACTCGGTGCAAACATGTATGCGCCATCAGACTGGTCCTGTACCTGGTTTGGTGACACAACCGGGTTCCCAAAACGAGTGGTGTTCATCGCCACCGCCATGCATACATCTACACCGCTGTGAGGTGCTTGATCCACCGGCTCAGAGGAAGTTGCCATAGATGAGCTGTTGAACGCCGTGGATGTCCCGCTGACCTGGTAACCGGGAAACGCCTGGGCCTCGTGTGAACTTGCCATAGGGAAAATCCTCGGATCTTGGTAGTGCATGAAGTTCGGAGTGATGGGAATTCGCTGTCCATACCCCATCCAATCCGTCCGCATGTTTAGGAGGAAGTGGCCGGTGGTGGATCGGATGAGGGGAATCACCAGGTAGGGATCCACCGCCTTCATGACCATGAGGCTCTTACCAAGGTCAATGATCGCCTGCAACTTCTCCAGGGTGCGGGCCCCGATGAGCAATGGCACACCCTCCGCGTCCAAGGTGTAGACACCCAAGTGAAAGAGTTGTCCACCCACCGTCTGGGGCAGGAGCATGTAGGACTCGGAGAACTGCCTCTGCCCATTGCCAAAACGAAAGCACTTCTTCTCCTGCGGTACCACGGACACAGGCTCATTGATCAACCCGTTCAAGCGGCGGCCCTCCAAGATCTTCTCGACCGCGCCAAGTGAAGCCACTGTCTCCGTGGCACCCGTGTCCAGAACGCCGAAACCTTCCACGTCTGGGTGCTGAATGGCCATGAGGATGATCCCGGGGACTGCAGGAGCGGGGGAGATGGACTCTCCACCAGGGTGACCTCCGGGAAAAGTCATCCGGGCTGGAGAGTCAGGCTCAACCACAAAGGTCTCCCCATCTGGCTGGGTTCCTGCTGGAGCCCCACGAGCTGGGGAGGCAGGCTCGACTGCACTGTCCCCGTCTTCGGTCTCGGTTTCTGGATAAGGTTCACCAGGAGGAAACAGAGGACGAACTGCAGAGTTGGGATTAACCCAATCATCTTCATCCACTTCCACTTCGTCCACAGAGAAGACCTGGTCCGCAAAGGAGACGTGGCCCTTGCCGTAGGTCTTGCCTGTCCCTTTTCCTTTTCCACGTCGAGGGCAATGACGGAAATCGTGTGACTTGTCCCCGCAAATGAAGCAACCCGAATATCCCGGAGCGCCGGGGGTGGCCTCCAAAACTGAGGGCAGCACCGGTGCCGAAGGAGTAGAAGTGGTCGTAGCTGCCAGCACTGCCTGAGTGGGCTGTCCCTTGGTTTTGCCACCGCCCTTCTTCCCTTTTCCTTTGCCCTTGCCATAGTAGCCTCGGGAGGCCCCTTTGGCTGCCATGAGCTGCCGGGCCTGGGAAAAGGTCCGCGGCTTGTCCTGGTAGAAGGTGGCGGCGTCGGTCTGTTGCTTCTGCTCCTCCGGGGTGGCCGCCCACCAGGCTGCCTCCGTCTCCCACTGACTCCAGGACCAAAACACACCGTTGCCGTCCTGGAAGTAGTACTCACCGTCCATCGGGTCTTGCTTCCACAGGGTGTAGGCTCCGTCATCCTCATGATTCCAGAACTGCTCGATGTAGGGGTCCACCGCAAGTTCCGCTGTGAAAGCTTCCTCCACTGGCGCGTGAGATGGAGCCTCAACCCAGTGGATGCTCGCCTGGTCGGTGATGTCCTCAAAAATGTCTTCGCTGCTCAGCAAGATGCCCCACTGACCGTCCTGCTCCACCCAGAACGAGCGGCCTCCACGTCCTTTTCCACCACCATGCCCTTTTCCAGAATCGCGCTCCATGAACCTGAGCTCTTCTTCTGCTGCTCGAAGTCCCCTCTCGACAGCCTCCGCCTTCAGGGAGTTCTGGATGGCGGAAAGCACGTTAAGCCGCTGCGTGGGGTTCAGGCCGGAGCGGCGCAGCATAATCCAACCAAGCAACTCATCTGGCAGAGCAGGAGGTAGCTGGGTGTCCAAATCCTGCCAGATGTTCTGAGCACCATCTGATGACTCTGACGAAGTTGAGGTCCCTCGCTTCCTCGTTGATCGATCTTTTCCTTTACCACCATCTCTACTGCCCTTGCCGAAGAACTCGTCCCACGTCGGTTCTGCTTCTGGAGGTTCTCCCGCATCATCTTCTTCTTCATCACGATCTTGATCTTCCTGATCATCACCTTCAGGAGCACCTGGGTCGTCCCGAGAGGGATGAGGTGAGCCTCCAAGAAGATCAGAACCTCGTGCTCCACGCCTGGCCGTAGGTGAGGAACTCAGCGCACTTCGCGTTGTTGGGCTCCCAGGAGAAGTAGGGTCCTCAGCACGAGCTCTCTTCAGGGCACGCTGCAACTGTCGATGCGCTTCACGAACATTGTGACACCAGGATGCCATGGTCATGTGAGGTGGCCTCCGCAATCGGACCAACAGCTCCTCCGCCTTGGCGCCTGCATCCGGTATGGGAACTTTACCAAGTCGCTTCTCGAGGAATTCCAAGAGATAGCGAGCACCGTCAGGTCGCGTGAGAAGGCCGTGGTCAAGTTCCTGGGTCACAATCCAAGCGCGCCCCGTGAGCTGGGATGCTAGTTCGGCTCCGAGGTGTCGTCGCCGTCGCTTGCGAGTCTGCTCCCAAGCCAGCCGAACTCGCCGAACATAATCTTGCCATGTTGAAAAATCTCCATCCCAGGGAACACGAAGAGAGCCCTTGGCCGTGTCCCCCATCTCCTCCTCCCAGCCCTGTCTCAACCGTGTCAGGCGGTGCCACGGTTGATCCAGGGCTCCGCTACCAGTTTCACTGGTAGCCCGGCTGTGCAACTCAAAGGAGAAAGAACTGCACACACTTGTTTTCTCAGCCGGGTAGTCCAGCTCAATGTCGATGTGGCTTCGTCACGAAGCCAGCCGATCCACATGTAGCGCGCGTTCCGTAAGGAACGTCTTGGCAAAAGGGTCCCCTGGGTATTTGGGCCAGAAGGACCGCAAAAGGCGATAAATCAAATCAATTCCATGCAAATGGCTGAAGCTCTGGAGCCTGACGTGAAAACACTGACATGTTCAACTTTAGCGAGGCGGTTTAGTAGGTTTTAGAGGGAAACCAACAGGACTAAAAACTTTTCCTATTTCTTTTCTTTTGGGGGGGGGGGTCCCCTGAAACATTGGCCAGGTGATGACTCATGTTGGGTTTAGGCGGCCGCCACCCCAGGACGTGAACGCGTTCGGCTTTGACACAGGTGGGATCTGTTCGGTCGCCGGGTTGAGTGAGGGACCAAATGGTAAACGAGCAACTCCAATCATGCTTGTTAGGAATCTGGGGATTCCTCAAGGGTTGGCGAATTGTACGCAGCCATGGGTTTGTTTGTGAGAAGCAGGTTGTTTGAGGGCCAAACAATCTTAAAGCCAATGTCAGACCTCGGTGCAGCCGGAAGAATGTGTCGCATCGTGGACTGTTTGGGTTCACCAAAAAATTGTTTGGCAAAGTTTGCTTTGTGAACAATTGGGCCATTTCGCCTAAAGCTGAAAGGGGATGGCCAGAAACACGCCCCCGAAGAACTTGTCAGCCCAAAGCAACCATTTGGGGCCTGTCAACTAACATGGAACCAGAGGTCCCTTCTCCTTTGGAAAGCAGTCCAAACCAGGACCCTCAGTCAGATTCCACCTACCCCGAAATGGTACCATTGGTTTTGACCCACAGCCAGGTGAGTTTCCCTTCGCCTTCTGCCATCACTTAAGGGGCGAACCCATTTCTCAGGCACCCGCCAGCTCACGCCGCTGCTGTGGTTCTGCGCCCGGCGCACGAAATCGCGGCAGCCCAAGTGTCAGGCGCCGCAAGATCCCGCCAAGAGTTGCGGCCGTTGGTGGAGTTTTGAGACAATTCACATTTTTTTTATATGCTAGGTCCCCCAGTAGTGCCCTTTTGCCAGCTTTTTTTGGGGAGGGTTCCCCTACTAAAATAGACAACAGAAAAAAGTTGGTACCCTTATTCTGACCTCTCTACTGGAGGACCTAGCATGGCTTTTTTTAGGGGCCCCTCCAAGATGGCGATTTTCCTTTGGTACCGAGCCTCAAGCATTCCACATCATGTGGCCCGCTCGGTACCCGTTTCGGTGTGTGTGTGTGTGTGGAATTCCTGAAGCCAAAGGAAATCGTCAGAACAAACAGTCGAGCCCGTGCACGCCAGGACACGTCCCAGAATTCTTCGCAAGCAACCTTTTCGCAGTGTTGGATTTGTGTTGAGCAATTCGTCGATTGAGTTTAAAATGAAATTAGTCAGCATTTTTTAGAATGGCGTGAACTTCGAGCTCGATTGGAGCTTTGTTTGTCACAGGGGGTTCACCCGCAACCACGACTGGTGGCCCAACGAAGAGGGTCGTGGCTTGCCCTGATATCTGGCCTGATCAGCCAGACGTACCTGGCACTCTCACGAATAGAATTATCGCAGCGGATGGAGCGTCCAACGAAGCAAGACAGCGAAGATGCGGGGTGATGTACCCAATCTCTCCTCTCGAGGAGCCATCAAGTGTGTTTTCTAGCGGTTGGTATTCTGACAAAGGACCCATCGCAGGTTCTAAGGAGCCGCCAACCCATTGACATACGGATGAGGCATGTTGAAACGGATTGATGCTCTATAACAGCTTGATCGCAGCATTGTGTCAAGCCAGCCCTGTGCTAGCAGTGACAACCACTGTCAACACACCACTTGTTTTCCGCACATGAACACGCAAAGCATGCAGCGAGAATCTGAGCTGCCAGAATTTTGGGATTGTCCTGCGGATGTACAGACTTTTGTCTCTCGGCATGGCGGGTCAGGGTGGCTTGCCCAGTTTATCACGCCCATTGCGCGCTTACCTACAGACCGCGTGGAACACGCGAAGAGATTTTTGCTTCAGGGTGGTTGTGCCACCCCAGCGCAGATGGATCCCAAAACGCTAGAGCCTGCCATGTGAGAATCTTTTCTGGCCCGCCCGCAAGCAACATGCGCCGGGGAGGCGTTGTTGTTTGGGTTGGTGGCCTTCAAGAGCAAGTCCTCCAGGCTAATTCAAGCGCCCGCAGCCAACGAGTATGACGTCTGGTGATGGTGGGTCCACTTCACCAGCCAAGAAGGCCTCGAAGTCAAGAGACCATGGGAGTGAACGAAGGTGAGACTCCGCTCGGCTTTTTCTGTAGGGCAAGCTTGGAGATTTGGAGCCTGGTCAATTTGGCACAACGGGCCTCGACCCTGATCAACCGCCCTAAAAACACAATTGGGGTGGCAGTGGCGGGCAAGTTTGTGGGAAAACACTACCACCATCAGTCGGCCAATGTAAAGGATGAGCAGAAGAAACTGCGGTTTCATCCAGTGGTAAAATCAAACAGCTCAGACAGGCGGTGGTGCATGCGAAGCGATTGCGCCATCATATCCCGGCTGCTTTTACTATTTGACGCCGCAGAGCTAGAAATGTGGGGAACATGGAAGCCTCTGACAAATGTACCAACTCTTCCTGGCGCTGAAAGTGCCCAATTCCCTTAAATGTGACTGGTTCCTGGAAAGAGAAAAAGCGAGATCATGGTTGAGGAGCTCGTTTCAAGGTCGTTTGGCAGGCAGCTCAGGTCCGTTTCAAGGTCGTCTGACAGGTTGTGTCGTCAGATAGGTCAGTTTCAAGGCTGTCTGGCAGGCAAGCCAATCCTTGAAAGGTCCGTTTCAAGGCGTGCGTGCGCCAAGTCCCTGATCCAGTCGGGACCGGTTTTAAAGCTTGGACGCCGTGACGTAGCAGGTTTTAGGCTCAAGAGCTCAGTTTAAGCGCCGATAGTTGCCATGTCGTACTGGAAGTCAAACTCGTGGAAGGACCAGGATTGGAAGTGTCAACCCTGGAAAGAGCAGACATGGCATGATGATTCTTGGAGTCATAGATCAGCCCCCCCAAACGCCACCTCGGAAGAGACGAGGCCCCACATCTGACCCCATTTTGGCGGGCGTCGCCAGCACGGAAGCAAAGCTTCCCGATGACTTTCACCCAACATCTTCATTTTTTGACAACAATGAGGTGTTTGGGCTGAAGTTTCATCGCACCATCCCGGCAACAGCCTGGGCGGTGCGTCACGGGTTTGCTGGCAGAAGTGTTCTTGACATTACATTGCCAGAGCTCGCAAACAAAGGATGGCACAATTACAATTTACGCCATCTATCGGCGAGTCGATATGTTGCCGTTTTGTTTGCCAAGTCAATCAGAGAGGCGGTGTTCATTTCCAATCTTCTCACACGGATTAGAGAATCCCGTTTGGATTTGGACCAGTTTTGCTTCGAGCGCTCCATTTCCATTGATGTTTCGGCCGACGAGCAACAACAGAAGACCGAAAAGGCGTTGGCCAACCATGTGTTTCAAGCTTCGCTGCCTTTTAAGAGGGAGGGCCTCCAAGAAGCCCAAGACAAAATTCGATCCTTGGAAAAGGAACTTAAGGAAGCACGTACAAAGCCTGACTTGCCGGTCCAATCGCAACCAAGGTCTGACGAGAAATTTGCGGACCCCCGAAGTGTGGTGCCTGCCCTGCAGGACGCGCAAGACAAGATTGCAGCATTGGAAAAGGAGCTTCCGGAAGCACACGCAAAGCCTGAAGCGCCGGTCCAAATGCAATCCGGGTCGGTCAAGAGAACTGCGGACCCCCGAAGTTTTGTAGCGCCGCTGCCTGCGAAGCAGGCGAAGAAGAGCCTGCTTACAACTTTTGCCAAGGCCGCCCCTGGTAGCTCAACAGCACACCCTCTCAAGGTCAGGCGCGAGAAATTCCAGATGATCCCGCTCAGCCTGGGGAGGCAGAGCCACCCCGAGAGCTGCAACTGTTTTCACCTCCTAAAATGTGGGTTCTTGAGAAACAGTGCCCAAACAGTGTTTGTGCGGCGTCCGTAAATGGTTGGAGAAGCTGAAGCTGAGTCCTGCGGCAAAGCTGACTGAGGCAACCACCGGTATTTCCAAAAAGGTCAAAGACCTACAGCCTGAAGAGTTGGCTGGTTTGGCCGACCGGGCAGCAGCTTGGGGCTTACCTGTTCACATGGCAGTGCGTGCAAAGCACGCAGAATTGGCCAAAATTGTGTATTCCGCAGTAGCGTTGACTCTCTGACTAGGGGATTTTGCAAGCACCTCCAAGCGAGTGGCCACAGATTGGTTACAGTGTGCTTTTTGGATTTCACAACTTGCAGCCTTCTGGTTGAACATGGCCATTGATGATTCTGACTTGTGGAAATCAAGAATGACTTTTCGAGTGTTGTCCGCAACCTGTATTGGCATTTTACTACAATTTTCTAGGCGCAATTGAGTGTTGCAGCGTTGGCAACGGAGATTTCTGGTGAGACGACCTTCGGAGTGGGCAGCTGATTTTTCGCATCCATTTGCAGTTTACCTCATTATCGAAGCAAACAATGCTGTTTTTCAGCCAGCGACCAATGATTTCAGCTTGCATTCACGCAATAATGCGTATGTGAGCGGCAAGCCCCAAGAGTTCGAAAACTCCGACAACTACGTTTAAACCAAGCTGTCAGCTGCGAGCTGGCGCTGCGCTGGTCACGCGACATTTTTTTCTGATTTTGTAATCTTGCCAGTGGTTCGTTGTCAATCCACTTTGATGTGTCACTCGTTTGAAGCAATGTTGATTCAGATGTGGCATCCTACGCTGATTTTTCCACACGTTTTGCGACTGGGAGTTACCAAGCCATCCACATAAACCAGCTTTGCCAGAATGACTGCAGCGCACAATTGTCCAGCCACCCAACTTTTTCACAAGTTGTGCAAGAGATTGTGCGCGCTGGGTGTTCTGAGTTTCTACCACAAGGACAACCTGCAATCTGCGGCATTGTGGACTCTGCTTCACGCACTTTCAACTCAAGGAAGTGTGGCATTTGAGGCTGAACGACGGCTGCGATCGGCAGAAGTTTCAGCCACGCACATTTTTCTGATGCGGAGATTGGCTGCCAATGTGGATGACCCGCCGCGGTCACGGTTGCTGTCTGTGTTGAATCGCGTTTTGATCTTCAAAGAGCAACTGCCTCCCCCTTCACATAAACCGCTGGTGTTACCTTTTCTCGCGCATGTGAATTTTCCTACAGCAGTGAAGGCCTGGATTCGTGGATTCATAGTACAGTTGAAGGAGAATTTGCCACATTTCCATTTACTCCAGGCACGTCTAGTGGCAGGAAAGCTACCGGTCATGAGCGCGCTTTTGTTTTCACATGCACATGTGACGAAGGTCTGGAAAAAACACCCATTTTTGGACCCGGTGTGGCTGTCAGGACAGTATCATGTGGCTGTGGCTTCCCCAGCGTCGAAGATGAGGCTCCATTCTCATCTGCGGAGCGCGTTGTCCTTTACGGCAACCATCCAGGTATATCCGGGGCTTGAGGAATATATTGACAGATCTTGGCAACCACTTGAGAAATGGTTTCGGCACAACCGCATCTTTGTCATAGACAAATCACAGTGGAGAGAATTCGTGCAGATGCAGTGGCATTCTCATATTGATGCGGCGCGCTCTTCAATAACCATGCGCGATGTCAAATTTCTTCGGCAAGAATGTCAACCACTGTCGAGATCACGCAGCTAATCACACCATGGTGTATTGCCCAGCACTGTGCCATGCTACGTTGATGAAGACTTTTGGTGATGAACAGGTGTACAGGCTTGCTCCCATGAGTGTTTCTGTTGCAGAGAATTATTTTCGGAATCTGCCACACCAGAAGTCGCTTACATCCTATGCATTACTCAAGGAGAAAAATGCGCTCAGCTGCGTGTTACAAATCATGATGAAGGAATGTCTTCCGGACTCCTTTGGATTGGATACGGTTCCGGAAATCGACGGGTTTCTCTCCCCAACAACTGCCCAATCGATTCGGATCTTGTCCTTTTTAATCACGACCTCGTGGGATTTTTCCCGGCCATACCGACAAATCGTATTACGGAAGCGTGCAAGTGGCTGTTGCAGAAGTACCTGGAGCTGGTTTCATTGCGCATGCTTCCTGGCCAGTTGAGCTTTCACGCTTGCCTGTTTCAGCGCATGGGAGTAGTACGAAGGCAAACGCGCGGCGCCGCCATCCGAAGCCAGCTGTCACCTGTACCTGCAAATATCACTGTGTCACTGGTTGAGCAGTCCTGGTCACTTTCAGCGCGAACATTTCGTCGCAGCCACGCAAAACAGTTCCTGTGCATCCGATACGTTGACCATCGGCTTGTTTTAGCTGATCGAGATGGAAGCCAAGACGAAGGAACGACAGTGACCCTTGTTCTGCGTAGGCGCCTGTTTAAGAAGTTTCAGTCGGCAGCCACGCAATGTATAGTTGCCCAACAAAGCAGATTCGACGAGCGAAAGGATACGAGACGGCGACAACTTTCCCTTCAAAGGGCAGCGTGTGTGTGTGTGTGTGTGGAATTCCTGAAGCCAAAGGAAATCGTCAGAACAAACAGTCGAGCCCGTGCATGCCAGGACACGTCCCGGACTTCTTCGCAAGCAACCTTTTCCGCAGTGTTGGATTTGTGTTGCGCAATTCGTCGGTTGAGTTTAGAATGAAATTAGTCAGCATTTTTTAGACTGGCGTGAACTTCGAGCTCGATTGGAGCTTCGTTTGTCACAGGGGGTTCACCCGCAACCACGACTGGTGGCCCAACGAAGAGGGTCGTGGCTTGCGCTGATATCTGGCCTGATCAGCCAGACGTACCTGTCACGAACGTACCTCTCACGAATAGAATTGTCCCAACGGATGGAGCGTCTAACGAAGCAAGACAGCGAAGATGCGGGGTGATGTACCCAATCTGTCCTCTCGAGGAGCAATCAAGTGTGTGTGTGTGTTTGTAAATATATACTTCTCTTTGGGGTGGTTTCAAGTTTTGGCCAGGTGGTGGATTTTGTGGGGCATGATGTGCGTTTGGGTTGGAAAAATAGGGAGCAGCTTTGACAAACAAATCCAGCGCTTGATTCCCCATTCTTTCCAGGGGTCCTCTTTCTCAGGAAACCATCAAGCGCACAGGGGGGAAACAGCTCTGCGCAGAGGTTCCGGTAGCTTGCACGGGAAAGTCCTGTGCTTAGTATCCGCAAGCAACCCACCTGGTGGAACCCATTCAACCGGGTCACCAAGAAATCGGGGTCTTTCCAAAATAGGACCCGCGTTGGTTAGCCTTCGCTTATAAAGTGGCAACCCATGGATTCAAAGGATTCCACACACATTTCAAGGTGGGCGTGATCTGAGTTTTCCTTTGGCATTAAGATCAGGGCCACCCATTTTGGGGTGGATTTTCAGGTGTAAGAGCTTCCCCAGCATCCATTTGCTTCAGAACATTGTGTTTTTTCTATTATGTTCCCTTGCTGGTTTTAAAGGGAATCTATCACTACTGGACATATGTTCTCTATTTTTCCAGGGGGAAAAAAGCACGCAAATGGAAGCCAGCCGTTCCAGGCGCCGGAACCTTCAATGATTCAACCTGAGCAGGTGGAGGTGGCAGAGAAGATCTTGGGCCGCTTTCCGATGGAGTCCAGCACGTGGGAGTACAAGGACCGAGCGCGCCTGAGCCATGACCAGCGGTCTGGGGGGGGGGCGGGGTGTGGGCGTCAGGTTTGACCGCTTGCTTTTCACGTTTCGTGGGGTTGGTTGGGGGGGAGGGGTCACCTCTAAACAGGGTACTTTGTGAAGCCTTTTCTTGGGCTTGGTTGGGGTGGTCATGAACATCGAAACGAAACTTGGCGAACGGAGGGCCCAATTGTCTGCCGACTTGCAACGGGCTTTGGCGCGGGCTGGAACTCTGGTTGCAACCCATGGGCACTGATGGAAAGGGTAAAGAGCTTGAGCCCCTTTCATGTCCAGTCGGCACCGCCTTCGACTAAAAGCCTCGGACCAGATTCAATCTAAGCTCGGCTTGAGGCATGGATCATTCAAACCATTGGGCCTTGCTTGCTTTTGGGCTCGACTGTTATCACCTGCAGTTTGATCGAAATTATTGAATTGTCTATGGTTCATGTGAGAGGGACACGAATGTCCGATGTCCTTTTTAACTGGACAAGTAAAGGGAACCAATTCAGGAGGTGCCAGACTTAGCTTCGCCTTTTTGAGACTTCTCACGTGGTCTTCTTTCAGCTTTTTCCTTCCAACCCAGAATCCAGTTTTGCAACACCCCTCAGACCCCACATGCGGCCCATACCGCTGAGAAGGTATGTATGCATCTGGCCCATACTGTCGATGACCAAAATCCTGCACCACTCGGACAACATGGGAAACCATTCTTTGTTGGCATTTGCCGGGAACTCATCATTCCAGGAGTTCTTCAGTGCAGGATTTCGTCCATCCGGTAGATCCCTCGATCCCCAGGACGCTCGGGGCAACACCTTGCTGCACCATCTCCTGCAGCCTCGGCCGGCGGGCGCACCAGCCCGCCCCGGCGCCCTAGCTCCGCCGCTGCCGAGCGACGCGGCGCTGGCGCGGCACGTGGCGCGGCGCCTGAGCTTGGCGCAGCTCTGCCACCGCAACGGGGCCAACCTCTGCGCGCCTCGGCGCTATTTGTTACCGAAGGCTTTGTGGGGACGATGCTTTTACCGTTTCTTTTTTGGGGGAGGGTTCCCCCACTAAAATCGACTACAGAAGAAAACAAATCGGGTACCCTGATTCTATGCGTTTGGAGAATTGGTGAATTGTGCGGATTTTGGGGACCCAGGTTTCCGAATTTGGGGCTCAACCCAAAGGTTCGGGGGTTGAGTTTGGTTGTGGGAAGCAGAGTTGGTTGATACCTTAAGGGAATCCCCTAAGTGATAAAGTAGTCACCGGAATGACGCATGTTGGCAAATAGTTTTTGCTGAACCGAGAATGGTTTGAGTCTTCCCAAAAGTTGTACGTGGTTTTCAAGGTCTCCACATGTTGAGCCACCCCCAAGGTCTACTGGACCTGGCGCAAAGTTTAACCATACCTCCAACGGTTTTCCGCTTAAAGGGTTGTGTTGAAACTCATGGACAGGCGCATGAGAAAGTCGCGCGAACATCCTCCAAGTTGGTGCGATTCAGCTGGAAACCCTGACGAACATATCACCACCCCAAAAAATCCTCGATTTAAGGGGGGGGGGGTTTCAAAAATGTAAGCTACATCTTTGGGGCTCAGTTTCCCCGGCTTTCGGGCGGATTCCCCAAGCAGGAATTTCCCTCCCCCCCCCATTTCCTGGCAGGAAGAGTCATAATTTTTTGGGCGAGTGCCTGAAAGTTCCCTTGACAAGAATCATGTGCAGTCTTGGTATGCGTCCACAACGGCCGACACCCCCAGCAGCACTAGTGCAGAACGGTGTCTTCTGGGTGGTTAAATTCAGTGGGGCCTGCACAAAACAACTTTCCTTTATTACCAACATACCTGCCGTGTGTTTCAACTAAGATGGGAACACTTTTCTGGGTCATCTAACGTCACATCCTCAAAATTACCCTCCAAAAAGATGTTGGTTTACGGGAAACCACTGAGACCCAAAGGTCATGTTGAGAACCCTTGAAAATGTCCACAAGGGACACAGTCCCTTAAAGGGACCTGTGGTTTTCCTGAGTCTCTGCTTTGCCCATGTTTGGCTTCGGTTAGGTTGGTCCCTGGTTTCAAGCCAGGCAGCCAAAGGGCCAAGAGCACCGTACCGCACATGGGCGTTCTCAAACACTTGGTGTGTCTTTTGAAGGGCGGGTGCCCTTCTTGGGGCCTTCAACGGAAATCCAAACGGAAACAATCATAGGTGTCCTTTTTGGTTGCTTTGCCCAAAAAAAAACAAGGCCCTGGTTTTCCTGGTGGTTGAATCATCTACCAGGGCCTCTTTTTGTCCCAAAAAGGACACCAATGGAAACAATCCACGTTGGGGTCTCCTTTCGGACACTTCGAGCCATCGACTTGCGGCCTTCCCCCTGCCATAGGGCCTAGGGAGGATTCTTGCAGCTAACCGCGTTGTGGTTTGGCGTTCAACGCTCATGCCCCGACGGGTTTTAGCGAGGTGGGAAAACCCCAAAATGCGAGAGGGGATGGGGGGAAGAGGCAAGATTCTATACTAGGGTTTGGAGCACTAGGGCAAACCTGCAATATAGGCAGGCTGAAAATGTCCCATTGGCAAGGTGTTTGCTCGACTGGCGTAGCATTTCGCTGATTTAAATGCAGTCGACGTAGATGGCTACGCTACTTTGCTGATACTGAATTAAGTTAGCAAGCAGGCCTTTGCTAATTCAAATGATGTTGATGTAGTTTAACACGCCGTCCTTGCTAGATAAAATAGTTCAATTCATTCGATTTGTTTAAAGTTGTTAGCTTGCTAGTTTAAGTAAGTCAAACAGTTTAAATGAATGAAGATGCAGACCCCAAGTCTTAGGTGATCTCAGGTGTCAGCCCGTCAGCCCCGAGTCTCAGGCTCATGTGAGGGGCTGGGGTCTGTATCTTGGTTTTTGGTTTGTGTGGTTTCTTTGCCTTGTTTGTGGTTTGTGGCTTGTGTGTGTTTTTGCGGTTTGTGGTTTGTATCTTGTTTTGTTTTCTTCAGGCTTGTGTGGCTTCTGCCACCGTGCAGCCCCATGGCGTTATTTCCTGGACGCTTCATGGGTCAAGGTCGCCCTCAAATGGCCCCTCCTTCAGACAAACAAGCAGGGATGCGGAAGCAGGGATGCGGAAGCGCATATGTTTCAGGTAATATTTAGACATGGTTTCCTTTACACAGAGTCGCGAAGCCCCCCCGCTTCCCCCGTCTCCCCGCGAATTCGTTTTCACTCCTGGGCTGTGAGTCTTGGTGCCAAAGGCAGAACCAACAAATGGCTGTGGCTCAAAAAAAAGGTACCAAAATGGAACCCTGGTAAGTGGAAACATGGACCAAAACCTGCGGCTTGCCCCTCCTGGTTAATTTTGAGCCACACCCAAATCCCACCCCGCCGATTTTATTTTATTTTTCATTTTTAAATCAGGCGCTGTCCCTCGCGGAGAAGTGGGCAGAAAAGGAGGCGGTCTTCGAAGAGCTCCGGGACGAGATTCAGGACTCCGGGGGTCAAGACTTGGGCAAAGATGTTGCATTTGGGTGACCAAATGCGATATGAAAAATGTGAAATGCCGGGAATGATGAATAGACATTATAAACGTCTTTGAAAGGACAAAGAAGGCCCGTGTTTCTTTTGGGTGCGGAATTCCATATGACAGGCTGCCGACAGCCCTTGTTTCAACTAATTTCCTCTTCTCGGACGAGATTCGGGATTTGCGGGGAACCAGCAAAGGGCCCAACCTCTTTGAGCCATCGACGGCAGCACCTTTGTTTTGGTTTAAAAGGAAGCCAAGAAGACACCACCCATTTTGGGGGATCCCTCATTTGGAGACAAACCCAAATGCCATGGTAGACCATTGGGCTGATTTACTGCGGAAAAACCTTCAGTGGGTTTCAGGTCTGCGAGAAACGGCCCAGACCTGTGAGTGCCCAAGAGATTCACTGAACTTCGGCGATGGGAATCAGGCCTATTTTCACAAACCCATGTTCAGCACGTTGGAGGTGTCCCGTTTCAACCCTCAAATGTGGTTCGGAGACCTTCTGGCCCTTCACGTACGCCAGGTCATCCTTCGCGCGCGGGATGACTGATTTTATTGGGTTCCCTTCCAACCAGCCCAAGGCCCCAGGTGTCCAGTGGGCCTGTCGGCAGCCTGTCCTCTGGAATTCCGCACCCAACTAGAAACACGGGCCTTCCTTGTCCTTTCAAAGATGTTTATAATATGTCTACTCGTCATTCCTTGCAGGCACGAAACTACCTCAGTTGGCTTTTGAGCGTCTTTTTTTTAAATGCCAGCACATTTCAGCGAATTCACAACGGGGACCGGGGAAGGGCCCTAAAAATATGATGAGCGCCAAGCTATGTAACCTGGCCTGGTTTTTGTCCTTCTTTTGGGTTACAGAAGGATTGACGGGTGTCATTTTGTGGAGGGTACCTTTACTTCCATTTGCTTAAGTATATATATATTTTGTTAAATGTATTTTCCCTTGTTGGTTTTAAAGGAAATGGTCACTACTGGATTTGTTTTTTATTTTTTTCCCAGGGGTCTTAAAACCAAATGGAAGTTTAGAAAAAAGAAAAAGACACCAAACCCCATCATTTTGGGGGTTCCCACCTTAAAGACGAGCCACCCATTTGGTTCATGGGCTTGAGGATCGGCCAAGACTTCGCCACGGAGGCCAAAATTTGTGGCCCAAAAGTCCCGGCAAAGGACCTGGACCTTACTCCAAACAGCAATGCACCAAAAGCCGTAGATTGTGCCAAAGAATTTCTGGGTAGATGGTCTTTTTTTTCCTGTACTTCCATTTGCGGAAAACATTGTTTTGTTGATTTTCCCCTGGCTTTGAAGGGCATCTCTCGCTATTCGACATATCTGCTCATTCGTTCCAGGGGCCGAAGCAAATGGAGCAACTCATTCTAGTGCGGTTTAAATGGACCCCCCTTTCCCCCCACCAACCCCGCCAAACCCACCAAAAGCCAAAGTTGACCCGGATGACTAGGCCCCAGCGAGCCATTTGGCTGTGGTTCAAAAATAGGTACCAAAAAAAAACCTTGGTCATGGAAACATGGACTAACACCTGCGGTCCATATTCTAGTGGATTAATTTTGACCCATACAAACAATATATATATATATATATATACCGTAGATATGAATCCATAAGGGGCCACCGTCATCAGCTGATCGCGTATCCTGAGACTCAGGTGTCCTTTTTGGTTGTGTTGCTCCAAAAATTGATGGCGATTCCTGGAGAAAACCAGGTGGTGCAAGATCATCTACCAGGGATATCCATCTATTTCCCCTAAAAGGACACCTATGATCACAGGCCTATTTTCACAAATCCACGTGGGACGTGTCCCGTTTCGACCCTCAAATGCGGATAGGAGACCTTCTGGCCCTTCACGTACGCCATTTGGTGTGGACCTCTGATGTGGACCCACCGCCGCCATTTGGTTTTCCGCAGGAGCTGATGCTGCAGCGCTGCCGCAGCTTCCACGGCGCCCTGCTGCAGCTCGGGGAGCTGCTGGGCGCTTTGCGCCAGGGGCACTTTGCGGCGAGGGCCTGCGCGATGCCCAGCGAGCGCCTGGAGGCGCCGAGGTTTTTCTTTATTTTTGTTTTTTTTTGGTGTGTGTGTGTGTGTTGTTGTTTTTGGCAGAAGGGGAGTTGAAATCTCGTGCTGTTGGGGCTCCAGGTGAATCCGCAAGGCAGTTTTCTGGGCAAATTTTAGGTGCACATCTCCGTGTTCGTTGCGCACCCGGCGTTAAACTTCTTTTCATGATTTCACGGTTTTGGATTTGACACCTGTGCATGCACCCTGGGTAGAAAGATGAATTCAAATTCCCTGAAAGCCAGATGCCAACAATGACAAATGATCACAATTTCCGCATGGTTTATAGCCTAACCGCATATTTTGATGTTTTCTCATATGATGTCTTCTGCGAGACAATAGCTGTGCCTTGCGACTTTGCACATGACAGCAGTTGCCACGCCCCCGCCAAAAGAGTCCAAATTACCTTCCGGATGTGTGATCCCTTTTTCACCCCTGAAGTACCCGCTCTACGTGGAACTGGCCAGGGTTCCCCAAAAGGGCAGTCTTCCAAAACCCTCCGATCGTCAGCTTCCATTGCCGGAAGGGTACCTTTCTAGGGTTTGACTCCCATTATTTTCAACCATCGTTCTTTTCAATACCTGCCGTTTTCCTTGGGTTTCTTGTGGGTTTTTAGAAAGAAGGATCCCTAAAAAGAATCTGGAGGGTACCCCTAGAACCTTGGGTTCGAAAGGACCCCGCCCAGGATTTGATAGAGCAAGTCGAGACCGCGATGTTCAAGCTGGCGGTGGCACCTCGGAAGGCATTTGGGCAGCAGCTTCCTGCAAATCCGCGTTCGTCCCCTGCATACTACGTAACATGGAGCCCAAAAAGGCGATGCATGCAAGAAAAGAGTGTTTGTTGAGTTGCATATCATTCTGCAGGAGTGCATGCCCAGGAATGCAAGTCTCTACTCCCTTGCCAAGCCGTGAAGCAACTGCAGACTGCCCATTTGAGCACTTGATATACGCGTGCCAATGTCAACAACTGCTTTTCCTTTGTGTTGGACTCATCAATCCCTTTGTAAAGAAGCTAGACCACCACGATCGGAATTCCAATAAAGGGAGTCGCCGTAGCCATTTTGGCTGGCTCAAGATCAAGAGCTCGACTGTTCACCGCTGGCCATTTGTTTGGCCCTCGCCGCTCACGAGCTTTCTCATGGCGCACCCTGAGTATGACTACCTCTTCAAGCTCTTGCTCATCGGTGACTCGGGGGTGGGCAAGAGTTGCCTTCTGCTCCGATTCGCGGATGACACCTACACGGAGAGCTACATCAGCACCATTGGGGTGGACTTTAAGCTCCGCACTCTGGAACAGGACTCCAGGACCACGAAGCTGCAGATCTGGGACACGGCTGGCCAGGAGCGGTTCCGCACCATCACCAGCTCCTACTACCGGGGCGCCCACGGCATCGTCGTGGTCTACGACGTCACCGACAAGGAGTCCTTCAACAACGTGAAGCACTGGGTCCAGGAGATCGACAAGTACGCCGCCGAGGGGGTGACTAAGCTCTTGGTGGGCAACAAGTGCGACTTGTCCTCCAAGAAGGTCGTGTCCTACGACGAGGCGAAAGAGCTGGCGGACTCGCTGGGCATCGAATTCATGGAGACCAGCGCCAAGAACGCCCACAACGTGGCTTTGGCGCATTTTGCTTGGATGTTAGGACGAAATTTGTGCAAACTAGTTGTTTTTTTTGTTATTATTATTATTAAACCACTAAAAGTTATTCACTTTTAGCAGGGGAGCAGAAAGCAACCGAGGTGGAGCAGGCCTTCCAGAGCATGGCTCGGGACATCAAGCTGCGAGTGGCCTCGCTGCCCACTAATAGGGCCAGAGGTGGTGGAGGCGGCGGCACCACACTGGGCGCGGGACGCCCAGCGCAGGGCGGGTGCTGCAAGTGAGCCGACAGAAAGGAGGCGTCAAAAACTGGAGACATATACATCTTCATATCTAGTTCACTTATGTACCCACTTCCTGAGTTCATGGACTTCAACTTTTTGCGAAGACCGTTTTTTAGTGGCAAATAACCAGTTCAGACTTTTTGTTGGCCAATCCAGAGTTTTGTCCGGGATCCTAAATTGACGCGCTCCTGTTTGGTAACGAGACGACAGAAGTGATGTCCGGTGGCGCACCGACGTCATTTTCTTGCTAGCCGCGCTCACCGAAATTCGGTGCAGTTGGTGAGTGGCTTGAACGCCCAGTGGAAATTCCACAGGCGTGTTACGGCATTTTCAGGGATGGGGTTACATGCCGAGTGGTGTGAGAAATCTGTTCCCCCTAATAAACGCGGACCCCCCTAATCATAAATACTTTCTGAAACCAACACATATTGATTGATATGTTTTGTTGGTGGTATTGCTTCAACAGGACCATACCCCTTCATCCAAAAATGCCCTTGAGTGTGTTTTGATTTTGCAGGCCTGCAGGCCTTGCAACGGGCCAGCCTCCGATGCAGGGACCATGGCCCTAGTTGTGAAGCAAGAAGCGGATGGTTGGCTTGCTGGTGCTGTGTAGGGCATGACCCATGGGAATGAAGCGGAAGGGGATTCCCTTACAGGACGCCATAGGATGAATCAAAAGGGGTCATTCCACGTCACCTTCCCTGCCAATCGAACCAGCCAGCTATCCCCACGGGAGGTGGGGTATGCCAAGTGAAGTTTCAGGAAGGGCCCAACCTCGCCATGGAGAGATGCATCTTGCAACAAGTCAGCCAGTAGGTTCCCAGGATACTGAAGTGAAGAGTGAACTGAGCCACGTGCTCAAAACCTGGGTAGATTCAGGTTGGTAAGGGACAATCCCAACCGTAAATGGCGGCGGCCGCCTTCTGATTTTTTTTACATGGTTCTGGTGGACCATTTTAGTACCGGGTTTTGATTGTGACTCAACTGGGTACACGGATTTTGTGGTTGGGTTTTGACCGGTGAAACCATGGGGAAGTCGGAAGGCTAATGGATGTCATGCTTTGTCCAGATCCCACAAGAAAACCGCCGAGTGATGGGTCTCCATTGGCGCAAACCAAACCAAGCCCAACCCAACCCAAAAAACCAAACCAGCCCATTACTCCTTTCTCGCCCTTTGGTTTGACCTTTAGTTTTTGACCCCGAGAAAACACACAAACATATTTATCACCATGTGCGTGTGTGTGTGTGTGTGTGGGTGTTGTGTTGTGTTGTGTTGTGCTGTGTTGTGCTGTGCTGTGCTGTGCTGTGCCGTGCCGTGCCGTGTGGTGGTGTGTTGTGTTGTGTTGTGTTGTGTTGTGTTGTGTTGTGTTGTGTTGTGTTGTGTTGTTGTGTTGTGTCGTGTCGTGTCGTGTTGTGTTGTGTTGTGTTGTGTTGTGTTGTGTTGTGTGTTTCAAAAACAATCGGGGATTTGGGCACCCCAAAACTCAAACAAAGACACAGACCCACTGCTTGAAAGGGATGCCATGGGTTGCATCTCAACCCGCGAGGACATCAAACAGCAGTGGGCAAAGGTGGGCAGGAACAACAAGGCGGGGCGGGGCGAAAATCTAGCAGAACGATTTGCTTTTGATTCCCACACATCCACTGGCGGTCGTCGTGCCGTTTTCGTGTGTCTCTTCTTTTTATTATTATTATCTCCATTCCCAGACCTGCGGCCGTTTGCCTGTGTTTCTGTTGAGTTGGGAATGTCCTTCGGCAATCTGACGATTTGTGGCGAAATGGTTCGTTCAGCCCGAGAGCTAGGTGAGAAGATTCTGGAAAGTGGGTGACTGGATTGGCGCATCTGACTTGCTTAGAACCCGGCCAAATGAAGGTTGGGGACTGTCCCAACCAGGCATGGGTGCAGGAAGAGGGGGAGAACACCAATATATCTTCCAACAAAGCTAGTTTTTGCGGCCCTCTACTAAAAACGAACAGAACCACAAAAACAATTAACCCGAAAAAACATGCCAATAACGGTAAAGTAGAAACAAATTGGAACTCGCTTTGTGCTAGTCCGATTTTGAGTGGGTCCAGAATCCACAGGGGATCCAGGGACCTGCGCGCGCAACTTGAGACCAAAACTCCTGACAAAAGGCGAATCCTCCCACTTGGATGTGTCTTTCTTTGAGGCTGCCTTTTTTCTTGTTAGTTTAAAGAGACTACCAAAAAAGGGGGTCCCCTAAAAAAAGGACACGCCTACTTGGAGGATGAAGGATGGGAAGTCAAAGACTCAGCCACTTCAGAGGCGAGGTCCTATACGCTTCAAAGAAAGTGCCGCCCTTCAGCTGAATGGATTGGCCCAGTGTTTTGTCTCGTCACTGACTTGGTCCCCAGTAGTGTTTTTTTTACACCCTTTTCTGGGGGAGGGTTCCCCTACTAAAATCGACTACAGAAAAAGGGCACCCTTATTCTAACCTCTCTACTGGAGGACCTAGCTGATCACGTAGTCCCGGGAAGGATGCAGTCTAGAAACTGGGAAACTTGCTTTTGAAGGGAAGTTCTTGACTCCAGCTACTCTCTCTGACTGCAATCAATCACCCATTGCGCTCAAGCCATGGGTTCTCTTTATCAACCAGGAACAAGAGTGAACATGCTACTTTGGATTCTCTTCGCGTTTACTTGGCTTTGAGCCCTTTGAGCATGTTGCCACTGTTGGGACCCCCCCCCCCCCCTAGTGACCCTCAGCTTGATTGGTGCGGCCAACCCCTTTACGATCCCTCTCTCGCGTCCATGATGTGTAGAATTGGTTGCGCTGGGAGCAGGTCACCACATACCACAAGAACTTCCTGCGCGATCGAGTGAGCCTAGAGCAGAGCTGATGGCGCCATGAGCCGATGGCATGAGAGTACCGCGTGCAGATGAGCCAAGGTCCAAACTTTGCTCTGCTTGGCATGTCTACGTCTTACCTAAATACCGTTGACAGACATTAAACTTCTTGGCAGGTTTTTCATTTTATTTGAGGCCAAACAAGTTTGCAGCTTTTCTGGCCAGTAGACTGAGCAGGTCAATTTTGTTGGCGCTTTTGGTCTCGTTCACATGTGGTGGGATGCAATAAATTTAAACAACCTGTGTGTGTGTGTGCAAGTATACCAGGGATGGGAAGGCAAGCATACTTTCATGTGGCTGTGGGTCAAAAGTAGGTACCCAAAATGGAACCCTGGTAAATGGAAACATGGACTAAAATCAGCGGTCCAATTCCTGGTGATTTAATATTGACCCACCCCCATGTTGCATTGTAATTTAGACAACCCTCGCCCATGGAGGGAAGAGGCCCGAGGAGGTGTTCTGTTGTTCTGTGTTCCAACAAAACCAATGACGAGGTTCCGGGCGCAGCTTTTGAGCAGTTCAACCACACGAACCACAATCAAAACTCGGGAAGGTGAAGGTTAGTAGGGAATCTGCCCAACCAGAGATGGGTCCGGGGGCAGCCACCTTTTAATTCTTTACATGACTCTGGGTAGACGCATTGTAATACCAGGTGAGCGCTCAGGTGATGACTCACATGGCACTGTTGGCTATTGCCATCAGATTGAAGTTCTTGGCCCTCTCATTGACGGCACCGTGGGCTTTAGACATGCAGCAGAAATTGTTTTCCAAGTGCTGCAAACATGGGACCTGTGGAGATTACTGGCGCTGAAAACCCGACTTGTTTGTTCTTCTTTTGAGCCGGGGCTTGTTTATACAGGTGGCTGTGGGTCAAAAATAGGTAGCCAAAATGGCTTGCCCTGGGTAGATGGAACCAAAGACTAAAACCTGCGGTCCAATTCCTGGTGGCTTAATTTTGACCCACACCCAGGTGTTGTTTCTCCCCCTTTTTCTTGAGGGTCTCCCCTTTCTCGTTTTTTTTTTTAGGGGTTACCACCCAATTGCATGGGTCGCCCATAGCCATGAATCATAGGGCTGTGCGAAGCGAGGAGATAGATAGCTGAGCAATCTGTGCAAGCAGCTGTGGCTAGAATGGTTTCAATGAAGGTCCTCGAGATGGATTCCTCGTGTCAGCAGATTTGTGCAACATTTGAGGCCTTGGTCCACTTGTCCAAAGCATTGCTGTAGGCTGCAAGGACCCATGCTTTTTGTTGCCCAAAGGCCGTCCTTTTAATATTTTTTGCGGCACGGGCGACCGCCGGGCGAATCGTTGAAGACGTCATGGGCCCCATAGTTGGGAAAAGATAGGCAGGCAATGGTTTCCTTTACGGCAATCCCTAGGGGCCCTACTGAGCACCAGCAAGATTATGACCCCTGAACGCTGTTTGTTCTTTTGTCACGCAAATTGGCTTGTTCGTTGGTTCGGCCATCACCACAAACTGCACAGTGCCAGGGATTGAAAGTGGGCCATTGCTTTGGCTCAGGTATCTCTTACTTCGTGGTTTGCATTGGTGGGGACCGGGGATTTGACTGCCTGATCATTGTAGAAGGCGAATGAGAAACCACCCCCAACCTCCAAATCACCAATCCAAACCACTCAATTTTGGGGAGGCTGCTTGGTTGTATGATTGATATGATGTCAACTGCAGCTTCCAGATTTTGAGACTTCCGCGTCAAGGTGCTTCTGCTTTGCGTTGCGTCGACGATTCGCTGAATTCGAGAAGTGATCAAAGCCTGTGGCAGGATGTGCCGTTTGCCCTCAGAAAAGCCATACAGATATGTGTTAAAAATAGGGGGTCCCCTTCCATTGAAAATTGGGGGGGGGGGGGGGTCCTGTTGTCCCTTCAAGGTGAAAGATGTAGCCTCAAAAGGACGCACACTCATACACCAGGAGTTAAACGGCACACCCTGGCTTATCCGCTGTGAACCTACCTTGGCCTAGTAGCCATGACACTGGTGTGGCACTGGTAGGCATGAGACCCCGAGTGGCTTGCTCTCTATGTTTGTTGTTTTCCGGGATCTCTTTGTTTGAATCCCTGAAGGTTCATTGACTATGGACTAGAACCAGGCATATTTGGGGTTTGGGGCAAAAA